TATGAGCCTAAAATGCACTCTCTCACAAGTATACACAAGTATCTATGGGAAGAGTGGGCATAGATTTTTACTATGATAGGTACAAGGTGCATTGTGCCTTTGATACTTTAGGGCCTTGATGTCCTTTCTCTAATTATGTTCCCCTCGTGGTACTATTCCCTGAGTGCAATGTCTCTGTTGGGAAAATTGCTCAGCTGTACTCCCAAGTCCTCTTCTTATTGACGGTTCCTCCACCCTTTTGATTGTCAGAGTTAGTTTTTACATGATTCCATAGTAGACTTTCTTCTTTGCTGCCAGAGTTCTGGTTTTTTGAAACTGTTTCTTGACTTATGTGCATGCACAGCTTAGCAAGCTGGCTTTTTAAATGTATTGGTTGTAGTCCCACCTTAACACCTCATCATCTGTCCTTTACACTCTGCTATCTCATCCCTTCTCATATGTAGTTTAGGACTTCAATATTTGTAATAATTTCCTTTGATTAAATACTCAGAAGGGGGAAAGCAATTTAGTCACAGACTAACTCCTTCTACCCCATTATACTTACATAGATATATATTCTCCCCTGCCCATCCAGTTTATGTAAGTTCCTTGATGGTAGGAACTGCTAATTTTTGCCTTTATATCCTCAGTACCATGGCTGCTGCTAGCACATGGTAGGCTTTTAATAAATATTTTTTGAGTATTGACTGATAAGCTGACAGATGACAAATCCTTACATTGCAAATATGGATTCCCAAATGTTCTCGAGAATTCAACAAATTCTATTGGAACCAGAGAATTATCATAAACAAAAATGTTGCTCACAACCACCTGGATATACCATTTCACATTATAGCACTGATCCATAAGAATTTAAGAACAATGTCTATAATAGATGTCTCCATGTGGAATACTTACAATGTCCAAACCACATGGAATGAAAAGCTTTCAAAACATAGTGATCTATTATAAGAAATGAAAACCGTGTGGAAACAGGATAAAGTATTTATCAGCTGTGTCATCCCACTCTACTATAAGAGTTGACCAGGGGATGCTTTCAGTGAATTTACATTCCAAAACTTTTATTCCACTATCTTGGTAGGATTCTATGTGCCCTGCCATCACTACATAAGATTCTCTGGACCTTGCCCTCTGCCCTACTACTTTCCCAACCTAGGTGCTACCTGGCCTTTCCAGCTGCCATAATCTGAATAAATATAAAGGTTCTTTTTTATTTTCATTTTAATTTATGGAATAAAACAATCATTTCTATAGCATAGTATAATTAAAAAGATGATTGCACATGAAACTGCAAATCTATTGTGGACAATTTGCTATTCTTTTTAAATATGTAATAAAGTTAGTATGAAGTCTCTTTTATGTTTTTTCTGCCTTCACATAGAATGGGAGTTGCCTGAGAGTAGAGGATATTCATTTTCTTTTCTTTATGTCCCCAGCGCTTAACACATAGTAAGCACTCAATAAATGTTTTTTTCATTGCATTATTCAGTTTCAAACAGCAATTATTTTAATCCCTCATGCAATAGTTTGCAGAACATTAAATACAAAAAAAATAGTAAGATAGGATTTGTCCCATGATTCTTATATCTGAACTCAGTTGAAAGAAGTGAGGAGAATGAAGGTGATGATAATAATAGCCACTCATATCCATATAATAATTTAAAGTTTAAAAAGATATTTACACATGTTATCCTTATTTGGTCCTCACATAACCTGATGAAGTACATGTTGCTGTTATGGTCATTCTACAGGGGAGGAAACTGATGCTCAGTGATCTTGTGTGATTTGTTCATAGTCACACAGGTAATAAGCGTCTGAGGCAGAACTTGAACCCAGATGTTTCCTACCTACAAGTTCAGCGCTTTAGCCACTATGTCATGCTAAATGACAGCTGCTTGACAGAACTCCTTGAATGTTAAGCTGAGAAATGTGTATTGTATCCCATGGGAAAGAGAGAGCCCTAGGTTCTTGAGGTTCTTGAACACTGGAGTGATAAAGAAAATAATGTTTTGGGGTACTTCTGCTGAAAACCATATGTAGCTGAACTGTATATGTATAGCAGCCAAAACTTCAAAAAGCTTACAGCCAGGCTGAAGCACAACCCTCCTCATAAAGCAAAGAACAGTTCATAAAGGTATTTAATTTCCTGATTGCCTTCCGCTACTAGCCTGGACTCATTAAAGTACTTGATCCTTTATATTGGTGTAAACTAGGGTTTTGTGTTTTTCAAAGACCTCCTGGCATCTAGTATCTCGCTTTATACTCAACAAACCTTGGAGGATAGGTGCAACATATTTTAGCTGCATTTTACAGGTGAGGAAATTGAAGCTCACAGTTTATTCATTCATTTTTTTTTTTCAGTCCTTTGTGCACCAATTTTTTTCCTAATTTTATTCTGGTTTTCTGTGACTTTGCATACATCTATATGTTTCTCTTCACAATTATTACAGAAGCAAAAGACTTGTCTAAGGTTAACCAACTGAACACTGGAATTACATTTTTCAAAAGGATGATCTCAGGCTATATCTCTATAGATGAGGCATCTAGAAATACATGATCTTTGTCACTTCCATTAACACAGGACTGTTTACTTAACGTACAAGTGTACCCCAGCTTTACTCTGACAGGCTGAGGCTGTGTGTATGGAAATTTCAGATAGGTGGCTTCTGGCTAAAGATAAAACAATATAAGTTCTGGTGTGGCTCCATTGCTTTGACAGTAATTGACATAGATTGGAACAAAAAATAACTTGATTCCATAAAGGAAAAAAAAGTACTTACCAGTATCTGGCTTTTGCTTCTCTGAACAAAAAGGCCACTACAGTGTGCGTGTGTGTGTGTGTGTGTGTGTGTGTGTGTGTGTGTGTGTGTGTATGTCTCTGCCTGTGTCTTTTGTTTCCCTACTATATTTATTATTTATTTATTTTTAACATTCGTTTCTTTTTAAATTTTGAGTTCCAAATTCTCCCCCTCCCTTTCACCCCCTCCCTCATCTACTGAGAAGACAAGCAATATGATATCAATTCCCTACTATGTTTTTTAAAAAAACATTTTTTGCCTTAGCTTCTACCCCCTGTAACATTTAACACCAGAATGTGTGTGAACTTGTATCATAGGACGATGATTACTATGGAACATGGCAGAGATCATTCTGAATTTTGGCAGCTCATGTAATCCAAATTATGAGGAATAAAGATTTCTGAGCTATATCACCCCCAGCTTCCAGAGTGTGAAATGGAGACTAATTGTTTTATTCCTTTTTATATTGATTATGGTGGAAAGTCTAATTGCATTAGACAGACATAATATATATGTAAGGTGCTGGACTACTGGGATATTGTAGTTGTACTTGTTGTAAAACCTGCTCTAATTAAAGATTTGTTAACACTTGAATAATAAACCCTTATTTTCAAGGGCTTATAACTAAGCATTAAAAATTCATTCTCAGCTGCAACTTGCCATTCATAGTCTCAGCCAGGAAGCAATTTTCTTTTACAAATTTTTTTGGGAAAAGTCTTCTTTTACAAAGCTTTTTAACCAATCTTTCATCAAAATAACACAAAGTTTTGTGTTTCCTTCGCAAAGAGAAAACAACAACAAAAACAAAAGTACAAAAACATTTGTTAATGACCTTGATATTCTTTCCTGGAAGTGTCTTTGGACTTTAAAATTCTAGCAAATAACTATCCTATCTCTTATCTCCTCTTCACTAACAAACTTCTGCAAAGATCAGACTATGCTCTCTGACTTTACTATTCATCCCTTGCATCTGCCTTCTTTCTTTACCACAAAATCTCTTTTCAAGTTCACCAACAGCCACCTCATTACCCAGTCGAGTACCTTTTTCTTAACCTTCACTCTCCTTGACCTGTCTATAGTAGTTGACATTATTGGTCACCTTCTACATGCTTCTTTTTCCTCCCTTGTTTTCAGTGACTGTACTCTTTTGATTCACCTTTCTCCTCATCTGATTGTTCCTTCTCTGTACACTTTACCCATTCCTTTTACTTCCTCACTTTTCCCAGGTATGTGTATTTTTCAAGGTTCTGTGGATGATCCTCTTCTTTCTTTGTAATTTCTCCCAGAGAAATGCCATCCACTCTTATTTTTTCAAGCAATATAAGTTTTCAAATAGCTGCCAAATGTTTATGGCTCTCATCTTTCCCCTTTTCTCTGATCTTACATATACTATTTTCTTTTTCTCTCTTCCTTCCTTCCTTCCTTCCTTCCTTCCTTCCTTCCTTCCTTCCTTCCTTCCTTTCTTTCTTTCATTTCTGCAATTAAGGTTAAGAAGTGACTTGCCCAGGGTCACACAGCTAGTAAGTGTCAAGTGTTTGATCTGAGACCGGAATTGAACTCAGGTCCTTCTGACTTTAGGGTTGGTGCTCTATCCACTGTGCCACCTACCTGGCCCTTTTCTTTTTTTTTTTTTTTGCTGGCTGTTTTCACCTGATTTTCTTGCTGACACATTATACTCAATCATCACTCTCCCTTCAAAAACTGCTTCCCAGTTTCTTTATTTCTATTGACCACATGATTGTCCTTATAGTCACCTAGTCTTTTAAAATCAAATTTGGGTTTGACTCTCTCCAGTCCTGCTCCCTTCCTCTCTATCTAATCATTTCCCAAGTCTTGCCAGTTCTTCACCTCAAATATTTGTCCTATCTACCCTCTTTTATCTCTCCTTCTATCTGTCTTTCTGTCTCTCTCACAAACACACAGATACACACATATGCAAACTTTAGTGATATATTTTTCTTTTAATTTTTAAATTTAAAATTTTTAAATTTAAATTTTTCATTTAATTTAGTTTAATTTCTTCATCTGTAAAATGAGGATAATAGCACCTGCTTCACAGGGTTGTTGTGAGGATAAAAGAAGATACTACTTGTACAGCACATTGCAGACTTTAAAATCCTAAATACATGCTAGCTATTATCATTATTAACAGTAATGATCATTACTTACACCACTATGTCTTATTACTTATCATATAGTTACCTTTCAACTTGCATCCTTGTATCCAGTCTTTCTAATCCCCAATCTATCATTCACACAACAGCCAAAGTAACCTCCAAGAACACAAGCCTGACCATGTAGCTCCTGTATGAAAAACAAACAAAAAGCCAACCCTTATTTGTTCTTCATTAGTTATTGGGGGGAAAAATTTTTAGTCAGACATTTGTGGTTTTGACAATCTACTTTTTTCTCACTTAACAGTATTTTATTTTTCCAATTACACGTGAGATAGTTTTCAACATTCACTTTTATAAGATTTTGAGTTCCAATTTTTTTCTCCCTCCATCCTTCCCCTCCTCCCTACCCAAGATGGCAAGCAATCTGATATAGATTATACATTTACAATCATATTAAACACATTTCCACATCAGTCATGTTGTGAAAGAAGAATCAGAACAAAAGGGAAAAATTACAAGAAAGAAAAAAGAACAGAGAGAAAAAATAGCATGTTTCAATGTGCATTCAGACTCTGTAGTTCTTTCTCTGGATGTGGATAGCATTTTCTGTCATGAATCTGTTGGAATTGTCTTAGATCATTGCATTGCTAAGAAGAGCTAAGTCTATCAAAGTTGATCATCACACAATGTTGCTGTTACTGTGTACTATGTTCTCCTAGTCCTGCTCAATTCGCTTTGAATCAGTTCATGTAAGTCTTTCCAGGTTTTTCTGAAATCCACCTGCTCATCATTTCTTATAGCACAATAGTATTCCATTACATTCATATACTACAACTTGATAATCTAGTTTTAAGCTATGTAGTGTTTGGGTTTTTTTTTTGGGGGGGGAGCAACCCACCAAATGCCTCTGTAATTGCTCAGCACCAACCTCTTTAGTAGTCACAGTTCTTGAAGACACAGAAAAGAATGTGCTTGCCACCAAAGGCCTAGGCACTGGACGCTGATTTGACATAAGAAATGATTGTGGCTTTAACAATGGAAATGATACTAAGGAAGTCACATGACCACCTGCTTAGAGAGCCACTGCTCTCTAAGAACCACTGGGCTCTTGCATCTCTCCAGCAATTCAACCCTCTTCTATATACGTGATCTCACAGTATTAGAATGGGAGCTACTTGATGGCATGACTATCTGGTTTTTCTATCTGTATTCTCTGTACTTCACCAAGTGAATAATACACAGTGCTTAATAAATACTTTTCCATTCATTCATTCATTCATTCATTTATTCATTCATTTTCCAGTCTTTTGTGCACTAATTTATTTCTGAATCTCATTCTGGCCTTTTGTGACATACTCTGTCTCTATCTATGTCTGTCTCTGTCTCTCTCTCTGTGTATATATGCACATATTTCCCCATATAATTATTACATTATTCCTTGTCCCCTACTTATTTGTCTAAATGTCAGATTCTTCTGTTACATTGTAATTATGTGGATCAGGACTTTGTTGTTTTTTAATTTTTCTTTCTCTACCATTCAGCACAATGCCTTACATAAAATGGATACTTGATAAAAGTTTGTTGAATTGAGTTCCACAGTAATCTGATGTACTACTGAGTCACATTAGGCTTTAGGGTGTAAACTTTTCCTTTTCAAAGTTTGATGTCTGTGGAGGCAGCAGAAGAGAAATGGGGGCCTTAGAGGTCTTCTGGTCTGGAGGTGACAAACATGTAGTGCCTACTGAGTGTGGCTTGAATTAGATTAAAATAGAATTGGCAAATATTTAAGAAAATAAATAAAAATACAATAAAATATTGATGATATTGCATGTCAAAACAGTCAATATGCAGCTCCCAGGGATCTTTATCTACAGATTGATGACTGCTGTTTATATTTGAATGTGACACCATTGATCTATTCCAACTCCCTCATTTTATATTTGAGGAAATGAAGACCCAGAGAGGTCACCCAACTTCTTTAAGGTCACACGAGTTATAGCTGGTAGAATCTGGATTTGAACCCAGGGCATCTGGCTCTATATTCACCTGTCTTTCTATTGCACTATGCTATAACATTCTATAATTTTCAGATCCTATAGATCCTGCCCAAATGGGCCATGAGGGGAGTCTGCAAATCCCTACTTCCAAGTGGAATTCATATTACATTTTAAAAGTTGACTAGCTCCCAATAGATTACAGATAATCAATTTACATGTGTGTCTCATTACTTTATTTTGCAGATAAGCACATACTAAAAGACTGGTATCAAGACACAGCTCTTCACCTACATTCATTAGTAATTCAAAGATTTAGTAGCTGATGGTGATGTTAGTGTAATTAGCAGAAAAAAATGGAAGAAATGCATGTTGCTATAGCAATATGTTCATCATGAATGATCTCCAGCATAAACACCCAGATTAATTTACAAGATGCCAGGTAGAGAGTGGCATGGCTGACTAGGCTACTCTCAGACGCCACAGTATTTGTTGTTGTTAAGGCATAAACATTACAGTAGAGCTTTCAAGGTATGAGTGCTTGTCACTGTCAATCACTCAGAGGTTGCATTCTCCAAGATCTTTCAATTCACTTCAAAATCTTTAGCAGATGAAAAGAAACATTTTCATAGAGGATAAAGAACTACACATATCCAGTACATTTAAAAAAAATGACACCCTAGTAAGACTTAAGAATACCTTGCTCCTAGATACAATGCTTTTCTGTTACTTGTATCTCATAACATCAGAGGCAGGCATTTTTAATAGGCAAGTCTATTTTAAAATACTGGGATTGTTAAGCCTGGTATCTATGCTAGTCTTAAGAAAAAGCTTCTGGATGTGACCATGAACTCATTGGCATGAGAGTCTGTTGTCCTTTAGGCTATTACTAGTAACTCATGGCAAAAAAAGCATCCTTACATCATGGGATAAGGAAATGTAATATGTGTGTGTGTGTGTGTGTGTGTGTGTGTGTGTGTGTGTGTGTGTGCATGCATGTGTTTATGAGAAGGTCTGAAAGCTACAAATGTTTAGCTGACCACTGGTGACAGTATTTGGGGCCCTGGAGCCAGACTCAAGGAATAGCATAACAGGCATTGTGTCATTCCACAGCTTGTCAGTCGTATGTCTTGCGGGGAGCCTGAGTTAAGCATAAGAGAAGAGCTCCTAATTCTTTATCACCAAAAAGGCTGTGTGAAAAGTGGAGAGGGAAGTTGTTAGAAGAATGCTGGGGGTGGGAAACCTAAGAAAGAGACAAAGAAAGATCTAGGTAGAGGTGACGTGACCCTCCTACTGGGGCTGAGACTTAGAGGAGGCAATGTAAGAAACCGTGAAGACTATGGTAGAGAGAGATACAAGGAGGGACTCTTTGGAATATTTACACACACACACACACACACACACACACACACACACATATCCCTTTTAAAGTTTAATATTCTTGTCCCCAGAGTTGCATACAAATATATTTTGTGAGATAACTCAATTTTCATGTCTTACAGAGGGGGCTCAAAGTTCCTAGTGGACAGGTCACATACAGGGAGCACAATCTGAAATGCAGGAAGATTCAGTTTCCAAATTTTCCAGGAGGGACAACAGAAGGAGGTCTATCTAATAAGCTATTATAGCATCATCATTCCTAAAATTTCCTGTTTCTATGGCATTTTTCATTTTTTCCATTTTGGAGGGATTTAATTGTGAATATGTCAAGATTTCATTTGAAAAGAAGGAACAAAATTTATCAGTTAAAATGGAAAAAAGGGTGGAGGATTATTCGGATACAGCTCTACATCTTACCCCTCAGTTCTGGTAATTAAGTCCCTGGGGAAAATTGTGAGTTTATATGCATCAGACTCTAGATTGTGACCCAACAGAACTTCTAGGCTATCTAGATCTAGATCCACACACATGCACATGTACACATATACACATGTACATGTATATATGTACATATATGTACATATATATATTCAGAAAATGAAAGAAGACAAAGAGCTGCTGTGCCTTGGCATTATATTTAACTCAGTGTATGAGGACAGGAAGGCTTCTATGTGTATGCTTGACCAAGTAGATCCAATGCCTGTCCAAAGTCTAATCAATGCGTGCTGAACAGTAATTTTAGGGGCTCAGGCACTTTGGGGTAAATTATGCAGACACACACACATACTACACACACATACACACACACACACACACACACATACATGCATACACACACACACACAGAAAGGCAGTTGAGTCGATCCCTGCCCTGAGAATATAATTTTGTGATGTGGTTCCTATCTGCATGACTGGAAGTTTGGCTGCAGGGCTGGAAGTCAAGGCCATCAGGAATAGTATGAATTGGCACAGAAGAGGCTACTTCTGCTCCAGGCCAGAGAAGTGCTGTGCCCCTGGCCCCAGTTCTCAACTTTCAATTAAACCATGGAAGTTCTGAGGTTTGGCTCAGGAGATTCTGAAGCCAGAATGCAGCCAGAGCTGACATTCCCCAGTACTGCCCCCAGTGGGCTTGTCCTGGAGGCTAAAGGTTGCCAAACCCTTTTTTCGAACTCCCACATATTTGAGATGGGTAGACAGACTCTTTGTAGGGGAAACAGATAATAAACATTCTGTCTCTTTAGGGCTTCACATGAGAAAACAATAAACAGCCATCAACTAAGAGCCCAATAGAAAAATGGGTGGCTTCAGGAAATTGCCCAAGTAAAGCGTGTTTTACCCAGTCAGTCACTGAAGAGTAGTGGAAAATTCCTTACTCATCTCCCTCTTGCAGCAAGCCTTCTAGCTCTGCCTTTCTTCTTCTTCAAGCTTATAAGTCTTTCCCTTTTAGGGAATCAGCTGCCTTGTGGGTGAAAGGTTATTACTAATCTATTCAGGATGTTCAGCCCAGAGTTCTGGTGATGTTTTGAAAGAATGGGTATTTGGCAGGGAGAGGCGTGGTTTGAAGGGAGGTGGGAAAGGAAGGGAGATTTTTTTTTAAACCCTCTACTTATTATTTTTTTTTATTAAATGCTCAAGTAATCATAAACAACAAGCAGTCATAAAATTATATTAAGGTAGCTTATTATTGTCATGTTTTACAACATTGATTTATAAGTACTTTTTTTTGAAATTTAGATGTGTGGTAGAATCTTTAACATAGAGTAGATAAATGCCAATTGATTCCACCAAGAACATTTCCAAAGGTAGGGTATTA